AGCAGCCAGGCCAATGCGGCCCGCGGGATCTGCGGACCCACCTGCAGGCAGGGAGGCACCTCGACTCTCAGCTGGTGCAGGGGATGGGGCTGGCGCTGCCTATCCGCCCCAGACGAGTTCTCTCCTGACAGCAGCCTGCCCGCTGGGGCTTGCCACCTGCCCTCCCAGGAAAGACCCCACGCCCCAGGCGCCCTCGGACTTGATACCCGGTACTCGTCCTTTGAGAGTACTTCCCGCAGGTGGCTCTCTTCCAGGGCACCCCTGGAGGGCTAAGGGGGTCTGGAAGGGTAGACAGAGGGACTGGGAACTGGGCTGGAGACAAGGCGAGGGCGGTACCCAGATGGGGGCGGAGCTCTGTCCCCCCCCCCCCCCCCCCCCCCCCCCCCGCCCCCAGCCCCGCCAGGTGCAGCTGCACTAGGGCCCGAAAGGCGCGGCTGACGCGCTGCAGCCGGAGCAGCTGGCACAGCGGAACCCGGCTCAGGACGTGTGGGAGCAGCACGTCTTCCCAAGGCAGGTCCAGGAGCCTGTGGGTAAAAGGGCGTTGGCGGCGGCGTCCCCGGACCGCTGTTACCTGCGAGTCCGTCTCCGTTACGCTCCTGCGCCCTAGCTCCTAAGAGCGGCCCCTAGGCCAGGTCCCGGGTCAACTCCCCTCCCCCAGGTCCTTCTTCACTCTCTCGGCCCCTTCGGTGCTCGGTACCTGACGGCTCCCAGCTCTTGCTCCCCTCCGGACGGCTCCATCGGTGGCTCCTTCGGCTGTCTACTGCGCGTGCGCAGTAAGGTCTTCTCGCTCTGGCTTAGGAACAGCTGTCGCGAACCCGCCTCCTTGGGCTGTAGTGACAGACCGATTCAATCGAGTGCCGTCTCACTGAGGATCCTATCGGAAAGCGTTCGCGATAGATACCGAAACGGAGGGCGGAACAGACCGGTGCTGTAACATTAGATCTCGCCTTCTCCGCTATAGGGCTTGAGACCCGAGTCTAAAGAATGTGATGCTGCTGCAGAGACTGTCTTCTTTTATTGCCTTGGGCCAGTGGATGATTTTGAGTTAAGTGGTGATGGGAGGAGCAAGCAAGGCCAAACGCAGAAGGGGCAGAGCCGGAATTCCAAGGTTCCGGGCTTACCCTCTGCCCTCTGGTTGCTTTTAGGGACTTTGAAAAATGGGAAGAAACTATCTAGGCTCTTAATGCCTGGCATGTAGTAGGTGCTCGATAATTGTTAAATGAATTGAATGAGTGAAGCTAGCTTTTTCTTCCTTCATCAAGCAAATTTACCCAAACCTCCCATTCCTGGTTAATTGTGAAGTACAGAGCTATCCAACCCCTTCCACTCCTGGACGATTTGGAACGGGCTTACACCTTGGGGGAAGAGATGCCGGGCGCATTGAGAAGGACTACGTCTCGCCCGGCCAGCGTGGCTCAGTGGTTGAGCATGGACCTATGAACCAAAAGGTCAGGGTGCGATTCCCGGTCAGGGCTCGATCCCCAGTGTGGGGTGTGCAGGAGGCAGCTGATCAATGATTCGCTCTCATCATGTTTCTATCTCTCTTTCCCTCTCCCTTCCGCTCTGAAATAAATAAAATAAAATAAAATAAAATAAAATAAAAAACTACATCTCCAGCCGGGTCCCTTTCCTTCCCTAGGAGGTTTAAAGTCCTGAGAAGAGTGCTCAGCTCAGCCGCCAGGAGTAGTGCTTCTCCGTTGGGGGTTTCGTTGGGGGTCTGGGTCTGGGCTACCCTAGCGCAGTGACGCCCTTGAGCTCTGGCCTCAGACTCTAAGCTGCCCTCTCAGGGCGTCCCAGGTCCTAGTTCCAGGGTCCGCTCCGGGGAACCCCTGGAGCAATGCCTTCCCCATCACCCATTGGTGGTGAGGGTGTGAAGGATTCCGAGAGCTACTGGTGTCGCTGAAAGCTGTCCCCCAGCTGGGTGACCCTCCCATCCATGATCTCATCAGGGCTTCCGGCACCTCTGCAAGGTGGGCAGGTCTGTGCTGTCACTCCATTTTAAAGATGAAACCAAGGCCCTGGGGAGGAAGCGCCTTGTCCAGGGTGGAGCGAATCGGGATAAAGAACTAAAGCATCCTGGGTTTCCCAGAATTCTTTCCACATGCCTTCATCTCCCAATGCAGTGAGAAGAGGGAAGCCAGCAGAGGGGAAGGATCAAAGAGGGCAACTTGGGAGAGGACTGACTCCTTCCTCAGCCGGCGTGGGGAGGATATAGCTGGAAGGATCCACCTCTGCTAAAATAGAGCCACGTGGGCGCGCACCTCCCCCGGCCGCGCGCCGCCGCCTCCTCTCCGCTTTGTTAACGCCTCTGCGCCTGCGCAGTGCGACAAACCTGGCGCTGTCCCCTTCAGCACCACGCGGAGCCGGCGCCGCCCCTCCCCGCGGTGAGCCCCGTGCGTCCCCGCCTCGCACGTTCTCGCGCCCCCGACCACCCAAACAGACCCCTTCTTCTTTGCGAGGTCACCATCTGCCTGCCCGGGCTTTCTCTGGGAGAGCGGTTGCCATAGGAACTCTAGTGGCGCTTACTGAAAAATAGATGGGCCCCCTTTTACCTTGGCCAAGGGCACAAGGGTTGCCTGCCCCCCACTACCTGCAGTCCCGGCGTCATCCCTTCCAACCTCTTATCTTTAAATGGGCGCCGAGCTCAGGCATCAAGGAAGTGCCTCCTGAAGTCTGACTGATGGACCTCCTACTGCATCCTGGGCGCGTGGTCAGGGCTGTGTCTCCTGGGCCTGAGACCCCGAACCCCGGAGGGTTCGAGGCGGTGCACCCCAAGTCTCTCTTCCATAAATTAATGGTCTCCGGGATTTAGGGGGCGGGTCCGCTCTCTTCACGCAAACCGTGCGCTTGGCGCGGCCGGGAGCTCGTGGGGGCGGGAGCGCGTGTGGCATGTAACAGGTCAGGTGGCCACCTCCTAGGGACACGAGTGAGGTCTGGAGCGGGGCACGCGTGAAGCTGGGTCCTGCGTGTGGCTCAGGGGGCAGTGGCGAGAGGAACGTGGACACAGTCGGGGTGGGGCACGGGAGGGTGGAGGAAGATAAACGGGTTCCATACATCCTCCCCTCGTCAGGGGCGGGTCTCAGGTTGGCGGGAGAGTCCAGCCGAGACCTAACG